AAGCCATATTGTGCCTTAGTACCACGTACAATTATATGTGGGGGAAAGAAATTTCTATTTTGGTCTCAAGAAAATTATGTGATTTTGCTTAAGTTCAATTTTAAAACATGGAATATGACTGAACTTAATGTTAGGACTCAGGGAAAATGTTCACGGTAATTATAGATGAGGGTACATATATGCAATTTCTTTCAAATTTAGTAATACAAAAAAATTCTGGATCCTAACATAACTATTTATAACTTGGCCAGGAGAACTCTGAGAATCGCAGCTCTTTCGCCAGAATAGGTTATTCTTCGTGCATCTTATTGAAGCCATAATGCATGACGGAGCGTGAATTATGGCATATTAATTCTCGCCTAGTGCGCTATTAGGCTGAGGGCTATCAGTGCAACTGAGCATGAATTAATATCTAATAATTCCCCTGCTGAAATGTCTCACTGAGATTATAGCGTTTTATTAGTAAAGGTTATGCCTTTAAAAATGTTTTTGTATGCTAATTGAGAGATAAGGGCTCAGCATGGAAAAGACCTCCCTACTTCTTCCAGCAGCCATTTCTGAAACTTCTCTTGGATGTCCCCAACCTTTCATCCTTGGTGCCACACAGGTACACTGTGCTCGGGAGTTTTCTCAGAAGCACGACACAGTGGAGCCACTTGGCCATTGGGAATGCAAACTTAAGATGTGGCTTTGACCAGAATTCCATTCCATTAAATTTCAGTGAGCTTGGAAAATGTGAGCACAGCCCAGCGAGGGCTGAGGGAGGATGAGAGATGTCCAGGACTCTTCCGGCATCACGAGGAAGCCCTGTGGGCAGTGGGGACCAGGCGCAATCTGAAGGAGAGGCTTTGACCCCTGGTCCTAGCACCTCCCAACTGCAACTCCTCCTTAGGGCACATGCAGAATGCCCCTCCCACCCTCCTTCAAGTTAGTGTGTGACCTGAACCGGGTGATGACCTGTGAGTGGAGATGACATGTGTTGCCTCTAGGAAGAAACAGTGAAATTTGCTTCTTTCTCCTGCAGTTGTGGAAGCTGGGTCAAGAGGGAGCCTCTCCCAGTCTGAGTGAACATAAGCTGGCCAGCATTAGGAAGAAGTGAATAGGTCCTGTTCATACCTGAGATTTCAGGGCTGTTTGTTACACAGCAAAATATAACCTAACCTGACCGAAACTTCCAGCCTCACTCTCACACTTGATCAGATCCCTACAGACCACCACAAACTCTCCCTTCAGGCCCCTTATCATGACTCCAATCAGGTAGTTACATGTGATTGTGTGTTTCATGTCTGTTTCCCTGTCTAGCCCACAAGTCCCATGAGGACACAGACCAGGTCATCACTGTATCCCTAGCTCCTTATGTGCTTGGTTCATGTGAGAGGCTCAAGAATATTTGCTGAATGATTGGATGAAAGAATGAATGATTCGAAAGAATGAATGTAAGATGGAGACAATCATTTGTGGAACACCACACGCCCCCATAAAAAGTATGACCATCTCCCTGGCAAGAGTTTAATGGTTCAACAGACTAAAATCTTTGAATGGCAGATCAAAAGATGGCTCCTACCTTCCGAGTAATATGCCTTGTCTTAACTTGCTGTGTGAGCTTCAGCAAGAGACTACCCCTCTCTGGGCCTTGACTTCCTCATCTGTCAAAGGAAGGTAGTCTTTTTGGGGACCTTTCACTGTGGACCTGGGGATCCTTAACATTGATGCTGAGCAGGCAATTAGAGAATAATACCATCCTGTTTTACTTCCTGGCTGACAGCAGCCAACCTCTCCAGGTGAATGAGACATCAGACCCTGCACACTGCCTCATCTGCGGGTGGGGCATTGCCCACAGAGAACACTCTCTGGGTCCCTGTCCGCAACATCCGCCACAGAAAAGCCCCCACTGAGGCCAAGAACAGAAGCACATTTTCCGAGAGAGGCTGGGGGGAACTTCTCTCACTCGAAGTGTGTGGGGACGCCTTTGTGCAACCCAGAAATAAGACTGGTAAATGTGATTTCTCACCCACAGGCTGTTGGAGAGGGTAGGCCCTCTGGTATTTAGGGCCCCCAAACCTCCCCTCATCCCCCGCACAAAGCCAAAGAGGCTCAAAGAGCAGATCAAAGCCACTCAGGGCGGCTATGCTGGCCAACCTGCAAGAGGACACTGTGCCAATGTACCGCCCACACAGCTTCACTCCTTGCACTGTTTTTTACAGCCATAATGAAGTCTTGAGCCCAGCCAGGGGGACCTTCACAAGGGAGCCACCAAGCTAACAGGTTAAGGGATGGTGTCTTGGCCTGACAGGTAGCCAACCAATGAGATCTCCCGATACATCCCGGATGTGCTAGTGACTGTCCACCTTCGTTTTAGACTTCTACAAGACTTCTGGTTTGCCTCTCAGAACCTGCCTGGGTCTGTATCCCCTCCTACCAAAGGTGCCAACGTCCCCAAATCTCCCTTCCATGAGTCTGGGGGGCAGACAGGAACCAAGTGTCCCTATCCCTTGCTCCTGACCCCTTGCCGGAAGTCGCCTTCTAGCCTATGACAAGGTTGAAAACTGCAACTGAGGTTTCTAACATTCTCCTAACCCTCGGTTGCCCCTCCCCCGCCCCAACTCCCACTATGTCAGGAAGTATTTGCTTGAGTTCTGGGCTTTGTGCAAAGCACCCACCTGTGCCCAGGCCACCTGCTGTCAGGTATCAGCCCAGAGGTATCGTGTGCAAAACAACAACAAAAACCCAGAAGCCGAGAATGATTGTGTGGCAAAAATGGTCCCTTCTCCATGACCTTGTCTGCCCTCTACCACGTAGATGTCACCTCCTTGGGAGAAACATCACCCCTTCCCCAGAACAGTGGCCTTCCCGGGTGTACCTGTTCAGAGATGGAGCCCCCTAATCCTATGCTGGGAGCCACATGATTGAGGAGAGGGTAGAGGGGAAACCATTGCATGGAGAGGATTATGGAGGCCAGAGGGGCGTCTAGCTGCGGTCAAAGGGACTCAAGGCCCCTCGCACCAGAGCCCTGTGATGCTGGCCCCATAGATACAAACCCCCGGGCCCAGGGGCCAGCAGCCTCAGAGCCTCTGGGGCAGGAACTCAGACCCCTGCAGTTGCGGCAATCGGGAAATTGGGAACCTGGTCTCGAGTTTTCTCACCGCCCTCACCCAGCTTGTCTGGGATGAGCCTCGAAGTCCAAGAACCTCTGCAATGAAACTTCATGCCTCCCAGCTCTCTCTAGGGTTCCCTTAAAGGGAGGCGGCCATGAAAATTGACGAAGACCATGCGTGAGCCTGTTACACTGGCCCATTTGGAAAACACGCATTTTAGAAACCCTTTCCTTCTGCATCGTATGTTTCTGGTGGTTGTCATTGCCGTTAAAATTCTCTCTCCACTCCTGTAAAACCCGGGGTAGTTCTGAAACCTCCCCGAAGAAGTCTGATACCGCCGATTTGAGGCAGCCTGGGAGAAAGGTATTTCTGAGACAGTGCCGGGGCTCTCTCGGTGGCACCCCGCTTCCGGCCTGTGAGTTTCCATTTCTCCTCCCCCCTCCACCCCACCCCATTTGTGCAGAGGTGCAGTTCTCCTGCCCCGGCCCCCTCCGAGGTGCACGTGCCCTCTCGGGGAAGCAGCTGGTCCCTTCTCAGCAGCTGCTGCAGATTAGTCAATTACAAGTTTGAGATTAAAAAAGGAAATGACGAAAGAATGAAACCTTTCGTCTGGCAATTTGAAGTCAGCCCGCCACAATGAACACCTGTTGAGAAGGCCCATTATTAGGAGCTGGAGGCCCTGTGGAAAGAGCCCTGTGAATTAATTTTGATGGCCTCACAAAACTCTGTATAACAAATGATCTTCGATGGGGGCATCGAGGGACTTGCATTTGCAGGGGGAGGGGGAATTCGGTTTCGGGCAAAGGTAATCTAAGCTCTGCCATGATATTAAAGTCCGCCACTGGCCATGCTTTCCCGTATGCTTCTGCTGAAACAGATTGTACATGCTAAGGTTACCACGTATTATGCGTCCGGGGAGGAAAGAGACACAATTGATATCAAACTCTTTTACAAAGGTTAGCGGAGAAAGCATGAGGTCAGAGACTCATGGCTCCCAAATTGTTGAATTGTCTCTCTACGTCTGTGCCTCTGTAAATGGAGACTGCGGGGCACTCTCGGTGATTTAAGGAGCCTTTGTCGTTTTTGTTTTGCAACCGCAAACATGGACGTGCACACCCACAGACATTCAGGACTTTATTTTTCTCTTTTCTTTTTTGGCAAGGGAAAGATAGAGCAGGGGACATGTTAGTAAACGGATTCGCTTGCGGCGAGGTGACCTTTGTACTTTGTAATGTCATCAGAAATGAGAAAGAGTTAGACATTCCGGATCACAAGGCACAGAGGAATACATGAGCTGGCGAGGGGGCTGGGCGGGTGCAGATTTACTGAATATTAAGTAGTTTCATTCTTTCCCGAAAAGAAAGGGACCCCAACTAAAATATGCCGGTGTCCTACCTGTCCGTCAGCCCCGATTAAATCTAAAAGCAGGCATCCCATCTGTTTGCCCAAATGAAAAGTGTAATATTCTACTAACCACTTTCTATTATCGCTCACCGTAAAGAGTTTCCTGCAAAGTGATCCTGGGTGCATTTGAAGTTTACTTGGCACACAAAAGGAAGCTCCCGAAAGCTTTATGCTTTTAAGCTAATAAGCACTATACCCAGCTGACTCTGCGGCTGAATTTTCAACACTTGGCCATTAATATAATATGCATTTTCATAGTTGTGGGCGTCCATTTGTCATGAGACGTAAAACCTAAAAGAACTCCCGAGGGTGATGAGCAGCCGGGGCTCTGAGCACAATCCTAACACTTCGTCCGCCCTTGGGCTCTAAGAGTAAGTGGGTAGGACTTAGGTGAAACTGCGTTGGGTTATGGACTATCTCTTCCTCAACAAGCACCCACTTGACTAAAGTCAGAATGGGTTCTTTCCAAGGCATGGGGGGCTTAGCCTGCAATGTCTGGGGGGGGGGTCAGCCTGCATGAACCCTCACTCCACCCCAAACCTCCGAGTGTCACTCTGGCCGAGTTTGAAGATGCTCCGGGTGGGTCCTGACCTTTGTTGCTCCTTCACCAAACTGATTTGGGAGGCCTTGCTGTGGGCAAAGGCGACCTGGGTTGTTTGCAAATGCTCTCTGCCCAGGAGCACTCGCTTGTTAAAGAAGTCCAATTTCTGCGCGCTTTGGAAGGTCTCCGGCCTTTCCTCGGAAATATTAGATAATTGAATGTAGCTTCCTCCCATTGGGGAAAAAATTCACACCCCCCATGGACAGCCCCCCAAACTCCGCAGCTCCCCTGGCACGCTAGTCAGTTTTACGACAGAGTTAATACGTGCGTGACTGATGGCGTCCCAGAGGGAGGTCGCTGGGGCTGGTAAATAAGTAAACACGGCTTTTTCAGTTTCCGTTTCGAATGAATACAAAACAAACTGCAGCCCTCCGCACGCCGGAAAGTTCTTCCCTAAAGTTAATAAAATCTGTCAACTTCCATAAAGGCTGGGAGGAAGGGGGCCCACAGGTGCAGGTACACGGGCTCCGGCTGCAGAAGTCCGGGCAGCTAATAAAAAGCCCAGGGCACTGCGCGTCTCCCTCCCCATCACTTCCCATCAAGCGATATTGGAGTCATCTGCCGCCTCCGAGGTGCGTCCCCCGCGCTCGCCCCGCAGAAGCGACAGTGACATTTGGCCGCGCTGCAGGTGCGACTGTGTGTGGCCGTGCGGCCTGAGTGGGGCCGCCTTTGTGGCGCTTGGGGCCTTTGATCTGGGCCACAAAGGGCCGCAGAGCCGCAGCCCCCCTGGTTTCTGCTGGCGGGACCAGGGAGGGGCAGGCTGGGGCTGGGGCTGGGGGCTCGGGAGGAGGGAGGCCGGAGGCAGGAGCCAGGGAGAAGGTCTCGGGAGGGGGTGATCCATAATATTTATTTCAACAATAGCTTCAAATCTTTTTAAACATCATAAGAACATGGCTCATTAAGCCCACAACAGCCTTGAAATTGTGTTATAAAACCGCAAAACAGAAATCAATACATTTGCTAGAAAGGAGGTAATGAAATATATTGAGTTGCCTGAGAAGTGGTTTGTATGAATCATAATATTATTATGTGCGCATCAATTCCATTTCCAATACTTAAAGTTAACCAGCTAGGGAAGAGCGCCCTGAACCCTCGTTAAACAAGCTGGCCCCGGTTACTTGCCAGGCTGGCGCGGCTCATAAATAACCTGGGGAGCAGCGGAGCTTCAGCTGCCGCAGTCCTATAGCTTCCCCGCCTGATCGATAAGGGCTCACAATGGCCCGAGAGCTCCGGGGGCGGCTGCAGGGCCCACCCACCCTCCATCCCCCTCCCACCCGGAGCAGCTGGGCCAGCGGCTGGGCCCTCCTGACCGGAGACCGCAGCCTCTCTCCCCCGCCCTCCCCAGAAGCTTCTAGCTCTTCCTCTACCCTGGCGTGTGTGAATCTGAAGACCCCAGCTTCTGACTCAGCAGCCAAGTAGCCAACCCAACGGGTGGTCCAGTCTGCGGTTTGTCTCCATGTTTCTTTCTTTTGGGGGGAGTCGACGTCATTTTCTTGCTTTTACTTCATCAGTGAATGAAACCGGATGCATTTTTCTCCTTCTTCTTCCTGGTGGGCTTTGAAAGATGATCCTATTCTGAAAGGTACAGGGGGCTAAAAAATGGGGGTAGACTCAGGTGGGTGGGGCCTCCAACCGATGCAATTTGGGGGCCCTTGTAAAGAAACACTCTCTTACTTTTGAAAGTTTCTCGAAAGGTGTATGCACATACTGGCAAGGTCTCTCCTGGCCTTAGAGGTGGGAAGCGTCGACGTGAGACAGCAGCATTGATTGGTTGCCTCTCACACGCGCCCGCCACCCACGCACGTGTCCTGACCAGGAAATCCAGCCGGCCACCTTTCGCTCTGCCGGACTCGCCCAGCCACCTGAGCCACACCTGCCAGGGCACCTCCACCTTTTGGATGTCAGCCCCCTGAAGCCTGTGGCTCTGGCTGGCTTTCTTCCCTCCCTGTCCCCAGAGTGCAGAGCCAGCCACGCAGCAGGTGTGGGGTGAGCAGGGGCCTCCGGGGTGGTCTGTCCTGGGCATCCCGGCAGGGACTCACAGCGTCTTGTCTCAGCCGCAGAGGTTTCTCCAGTTGGATGGCCCCTGTGTCTACCCTCTACCTCAGCCGGTGGCCCTTACGCTGTGCCTTTGGAATCTGGACCGACTGTGACCACAGGAACGGGCCCTTCCCGGAGCACACTTGGGGGGTCAGTAGCACACAGACAGCCGTGTATATGTGTGTGTGCGCACACAGGGAACCCCCAAGTCTGAGCACCCCCACCCACTGAACTGGGTCAGAGAAGCCACGCCCCCTGGGCCATCCAAGCTCCGGGAAAGGCTCTCCCTATCTCTGGAGGTTCCAGAGAGGCGGGGCATGGGGACCCAGGCCCGTGGCTCTGAGCCTGGGGTGACTCTGACCCCCCAGGGGACATTTGGCCATGTCTGGAGACATGTTTGGTTGTCAGAGCCTGGGACTGAGGGGTTGAGAGAGGGGAAAAGTGGTGTTGCTACTGACTGACGTTTGGTAGCAGGACGCCAGGGACACCGGCGTCCCTTCATGTCTCACAACACACAGGGCAGCCCCCACAGCAAAAATCGTCCGACCCCAAGTGGCGATGCCTGGGAAACCCTGGGTAAGGCTTTTTTCTGGCCAGTCTCTCTAGAAGAGGGGTCTGTCTAGAAGAGGGGTCCCCCAAGGCTGTGAGGCCCAGGGGCCTTTCTCAGTGTCATGGCTGGGTAACGTGGTCTCCTTCCCCGCTTCCCTTGATGACCACTGACAGTCCTTGTCCCCACGGAGCTGCTGCCTCTGCTGCCTGGGCCTTTGCTCCAGGCCCCACTGGAGGACGGTGCTTTTTCTGACTTTCCAACACACTAACTAGTCCCCCGTTTGCTGAAGGTTGGCCCACACAACTCCTGCCTCGTGGCACCTGACTCATCAGAAGGGCCAGAGCAAACAAATCGCCGCTTTTGAAATCAGTGGCATCACCTCCACTCCTCAAACCCCACCCCCGCGCACACTCGCCTGAGCCTCCGGCCCCTGCTGAACACAAACACAAACACCAAACCCTTCCCCTGGTCCCCACCACACACCACACCTCACACTGGCCTCCTGAGGCTACTTGGGTGACTGTGCAGCATAAATACCGGGGTCACACACTGAATGTCCCCGAACTTCAGAATCTAAACGCAGGGTGACCGTCCTTTTTCCAGCCCTGGATTTTTCCCTTCCTGATCCGGTTCTGAGGCTCCTCCTCCAGCTCTGAGGCTCCTCCCCCCTCCTCCCGTGGCTCCCCTCCCCCACTGCCTATTGCCTCACCCTCACCCGGAATTCATCAGTCCTACGCATCTAGGCCACTTTGGGACGCCGCAGGCTTCGCCGTGACCCAAGTGTCTGCTTTTGCTGGAGAGATCAGAGGTCACGTGAAGTAGCACAAGTGTGATTTCCTTTGTTTGGAGAGGACTGTCACCCCTGCTACATAATCCCAATCATACACAATTAGCCGGCTCAGGCCGGCACGGACCACTTACTGACCAGGCAGGCGGTCACCTGAGCTGTGGTTTTCGTCATTGCGGAACATGGAAACTACTTCAATTCGGGCGCAGAAAATGGAGAAACATTCTTACATTTACACGTGACCTGAAACCTAAAATAATCTCCTGATCACTTTCAGAACCAAACTAATAACCAACTTGTCCTGCAGTTTCTAGGTTTAAAAAAAAAAAAAAGACGTGTTTTTAAAATTAAATTGTTTTCAGTCCCAGGATGTACGGCAGAGGAATAAGGCGCAAGGAAAAGCCCCATGGCACAAAAATGTCCATATTGTAGAGCTCAGAAAGGTTTAAGAAAATTTAGCCCTGATGATTACATTTTAAAACTTCCAAGAAGGACAAAATTTAGGGAAAACTTAAAAAAAAAAAAAAAAAACAATGGCCCCATCCTGAACATATGAAACTAACTCAAACGAAATAACTCGATCACCCTTGGAGTCAAGATTTGCCATAAGTGGGTCATGGTTTAGGGAACCAATATTGAGTAAGAAAGTCAAAATGATTTCTTTCTTTGTAAATGGTTGAGGTTTTGTTTATAAACACAGAGATTCCACCATGAAATATATGGGTTTTTTTTTTAAACCAAGCACTCAAAACATGAGGAATGCCCCCCCCAAATGGTGAGCAATTTATTCTTGTTTACTACATTTATGATCTTCAGGATGTACATAAAGCCTGGACACATAGGCAAATATAAACACTGTGCTCGAAACGTTTTTCATCTTAAAAATAACTAATAATGCCTTTATTTCCGGACTTTATGGACAAATTTACCCTCCATGTTGTGTAGACGGTACAGATACACATACGCACTCAAGTTGAGAATAAATATATCTTCCTCTCTGAATTAGGTATGCCGTCTGTGCGCATTTTTCAGAGGACGGGTCAAAATGTAATCAGTATTATTGGAGACACCTTTGTAAAGGGAAGAACCTCTTTGAGAAGTGAATCTACCAGTTTTTGACGTAGAGGTCGGCCTGGCTTGGATCTCCTTAAAAAAGCAAGAGAGAAAATGCTATAATAGGAGCACCGGGGGGTAGTAGAGCTGGGACGGCCATGTCCCTGGAGCTGCCCTGCGTCGGGGGTGTCGCGATGTACTTAGCGTGATTTATCTCCTTGAAATTGTCTTCCATCTCTCCTGCCTGGAATAGGGCAAATCTTTCAGTACATAAATCGACTACAGGCAAGAGCCCCGTTTCACTCGGTTCCTCAGCGCGCACGAGGCAAGCTGTAGCAGGAAGAACCTGGGAAGTGGAAAACTTGGGCAACCCTGCGTTCCGGTGCCAGGTCTTTCAAATATCGAGGTCTGTGATCTTGGCTATGCCCTCCCCTTTTGAAGGCCTGTTTCTTTTAGTGTCAGGTGTAAATCATTCTAGGGCTAAAAATGCTAGAATCATAGTCCTATCAACTCCATTGATAAGGAAGTTTCCCTTTGCTTTAAAGGCTCTGACTCACAGAACTCATCATCTGCAAGTGAGTAAGAGGTGTCAGCCACAAACTGGACTCTCTGGTCCTCTGGGAGACCTAGTGGCAGTGACTACTTAAAAAAGGAAAAAGGCCCTGGCTGGTGTGGCTCAGTGGATTGAGCGCAGGTCTACAAATCACAGGGTGGTGGGTTCAATTCACAATTAGGACACATGCCTGGGTTGCAGGCCAGGTCTCCAGTAGGGGGCGTGCGAGAGGCAATCACACATTGATGTTTCTCTCCCTCTCTTTCTCCTTCTCCCTCTGTCTAAAGAAGTAGGTAGCAATTCTAATCCTCTTACTTAGAACTGAAAAAAGCCCGTTGGAACCAGGACATGATCCTTATGTTACGACTGTGTACCCCACTTACGTTCTAATTCTTGGGGGTATGTGGATGTCATATTCCTGGGGCATCACCCTGGTATCTGGTAGGTAGGGAGATGCTGCTGAAGCACTTGTTTGATGAAAGACAAAATTGATCCATCTGCTCACTGATGGTGGACCCATCGATCCGCCAGAATTGATCATGCATCATCAGACAAATGGGATAAAGAAAATGGCGCACCTGTATACAACGGAACATTGCTCAGTTATGCAGGAGAAGGAAATCTTACCATTTGTGACAACACGGGTGGACCTCGAGAGTATTATGCTAAGTGAAGTAGACAGAGGAAGACAAATGCCGTATGACTTTTCTCATATGCACGATCTAAAAAAAACAAAACAGATGAGCAAACAGAACAGAATCTCACAGACACAGGGAACAAATGGATGATTGCCAGATGGGAAGAGGTTGGGGGGATGGGTGAAAAAGCTGAGGAGATTGAGAATTACAAATTGCCAGTTTAAAAACATGCCCTGGCTGGTGTGGCTCAGGGGATTGAGCACCAGACTGCAAACCAAAGGGTTGCAGGTTCAATTCCCAGTCAGAGCACATGCCTGGGTTGCGGGCCAGGTCAGATGCCCAGTAGGGGGCATGCGAGAGGCAACTACACACTGATGTTTCTCTCTCTCTCTTTATCCCCTTTTCCCCTCTCTAAAAGTAAATAAATAAAATCTAAAAAATAATAAAGAAATAAAAACAGTCATGGGGATGTAAACACAGCATAGGGAACACAGTCGCTGAGACTGTGTTAATTGTGTGTGGTGTCAGGTGGGGACTAGACTTACTGGGGGATCACTTTGTATGGTATAGGAGAGTCTGATCGTTTATACCTTCTAAACCTTAATACTGTATGTCAACTGTCCTTGGAAAACAAATTGAAAAGATCACAGCCTGCATACTAGGTTGTACAATATGCTAGATGCTAAAGTCTAGAGTAAAGGTTGTAACCTGGAAGTCTCCCACACCCAGAAAAGGACACGTTCGCTAAAATAATAAATCAAGATCTGACCCCTTGGGGCTCTGACTGAGCTGGAGGCATCGTTTTGAGCCATTTTACAGTGGGATGTGTGTGTGTCCACATTTTGAAGTTTATTCGCTTCAACCCCCCTTTCTCGCCACCTGTTCAACACCTACCTGTCCATTCCAGTCCAAGAGGTTTGAACCTTGGATTCGTCTGAACAGGAGCAAATCCCACTGGCCACACTGCCTAGTTTATAGCAACCTCTGGTGTGTGCGTGTGCACGAGTGCACACATGTGTGCATGTGTTCTGTCCGTGCCGCCACCTGCGTGGTGGGCGCCTCCGCGACTGCGGATGTGTATCTCTCGCCGCGGGGGGAGCGGACCTGCCTTTCCACAGCTCGCACGTTCTGAAAGCCTTGGCTGTGTCGTCTTCAGCAGTTGAATCAATATTCCAATGAAAAATTAAAGAGGAAACGAGTACAGTACTTGGAAACCGAAGGTTGCTGACCAGGAGCAGAAACATAAAAGACGGCACATCACCTGGAAGAGGGACTGGAGAATTGACTTCCCATCCATCTCGTTTATTCCTGCGCTCGTTTTACAGCCCACATATTCTCCTTCAGCCCGTGATTGCTTATTTTAAATCGTCTTCCGGTCCTGTGGCCCTGTCTTCTCTGTCTCCCCTCCCCCTCGGACCCCCAACCCCACCCCCCCAGTGCCCCCGGCCTCCCAAGTGGTAGAGTCTGTGCTATTAGCTGATGTAGTGGAGGAGAGCCCAGACTCGCTGCCTGCCTTCGGCCAACCCTGGGGAGAGGAGATGAGAAGAGACGGTGTCTTCCTCCTGGAAGATGATCTGACGGCCAAGGGACCTCCACTGACCCCTCCCTGCAGGGCTCCGGCTCTGCAGATGAGCCACACGAAACACCGCAGCAGCCGAGTTGCCAACGCATGTGCACGCAGCCGTGACCCAGGGCAGAATCGGGGCACGACGCCTGACCTTGGCCCACGCTCGCCCCTCTCTGTGCTGAATCCCTGTTCACTGAAGGTCCCATTTCCATCGTCACAGCTTGGAAAGTGACCCCTGATTCTGCTGGATTATGTCTCCTGCCCAGCACCAACCGGGGAAGGATTTTTGTATAGCCTTTTAAATACCCAAAACACAAGTCTATGCATTTCCAAGTTCAACTCCTATTCACCGTAAACCCCAGAAAGAGTGTGGGCGGAAGATGAGAGACAGAAAACGCCTCCTTCGTTCTGCATGTGCCCCATTCGGAGCGTCTGTGGGGAAGGATTGTAACTCTCTGTCTCCACACCAATTGTCTCTACCAAGGTCAAGTCCTTAAGAGGGGAAATCCCGGCTGAGAGAGAGGAGCATGGTTCTCACCAGAAGGGAAGGGGGTGCTTTCAATGACTTTACTAAAGTGGAAGTTCCTCAACAAGCTCACCCATGGCAGAGGCCTCAAAGAAGTAACATCGCCCCGCAAGGACAGGATGCCAAATGTAGCTGAATTTAACTAAGTACCCATCAGAATGAGCAGTCTTCCAAGTCCACTTTGGAATTTAGAAACTACTTCTGTATCAGCCGAATCGCTTCTCTGCCATAGGAATTGTTCTCTCCCGAGCCCGGCCAGTAGCCTGGGATGATGCAGTCACAGGGTCTCCTGGCCTGTGGACGCACATGGGGTGTGGTCCCAAATGAGGACCAACTCCAGAACCATCCCATTCATCCCGGGAGCTTCATTAAAAAAATTACCATCTCTACGTTCCCGTTCTTTTATTGTTCTTTAAAAATGTCTAACACAATAAACAAAAAAAACAGAAAGTCATTCCAGATTCTACGAACTGGAGTTCTGATTACTCCAACACAGGAGTCCGGGGCAAAGTCCTGCCCTTTAATGGCAGAACCCTCATTTGAATTTTAAGTGGATGTTGAATATTAACCCTGACACTGTCCTGAATGGCAAGTTTCTCAACCTCAGCACTGTTGATGTTCTGGCCGGAGAGCTCTTTGCTGTAGGGGGTCTGTCCCGTGCGCCATAGAATGTTTCACAGCAACTCTGGCCTCGACCCAAACAAAATTGTCTCCTGACAGAGCTGAACGTCTCCCGGGGTCCCCGTCATCCCCAGTGAGAACCATGTTCCTCTTAAGGGGAGACACCATTTAGTAGATGTTTCTATTGCACTTCGAAAAAGCAGAGAGCACAGAGTTAAAGCGCTTTTCTGGGCCGTCGAGTAAAAGAAATAAGGAAAATAAAATATGTATTTCCATCCGTTTAATGGAATAGTAAACAACCACTGAAGTATGGCTTTAAAGATACTTTATAGGCAGGAGAAAATGCTCATCCTATAACGTGAAACTGACACACATGAAGACACATGTATTTCAAAATATTCTAAAGAGAAAGACACAAAAACAAAAGCCATTGTTATCTATGGGTGGCGGGATGATTCGATACGTGTTTTATTATTTAAATATTTCTCTTTTGCCCAAGTGTCTACCATGACCGTGTAGATTTTATGACTTTGGAGTACACACAGAAAAGGGAGGAAGAATCTTGTCTTACAGAGCACACAAACTAAAAGCCAGCTGCACACACTCTGCCCCTCTGCTCCTAATGTGGTTCCCCCCACAGCCTGGAGGAAGCGTGGCTGGTCCTCTTCCACTCCTCTGGTCCTTCCTGCTCATTAAACCCTCAGTTGGGACCCAGAGACCCTGCACCGTCTTCCTCCTGAACCAGCCTCGGGCTGTGGAACACCCTCTTTGATGTCCTCATCTCTTTACCTTGAAGGTCTCTGCCTTCTGTCATTCCACCCCAACTTTCCTTCCCCGAACCAAGGAAAGGATGGATAGTTGCCTCCATCCCTAACCCAACCTACTCCTGCCCCTCGGCCTGCTGTTTCTCCCCTGCAGAACGAGCTGATTGGCCCATGTCTTAGGAGAAACCTCAAACTTACCCGGCAGCTGGTGAGCTGGTAGATGAGGGAGGTGGTTCAGGCAAGAACTCAAGTGGACTCGGGTCAGCTCCATCCGAAGGGGACGGTCACGCCTTTGTGTCAGCCAATTGTCGACATGTGGGAAGGCAAGAACACTAGATCATCTGACATTTAAAAAAAAAAAAAACCCAATCCCTGGAAATTGGAAATTTGAACTTTTATATGAGATCTCCTGACTTTCAAATGTTGGCAACGCTTTCGAATTCGCTCAATATGCCTTGTGAGCCAAATAAAACACATGTGCCGGCCGAGCAAGGCCTGGGAGCCCAGACTTTGTGACCAGAGGCCTCTGGGTATCTTTTTAGCTCTGAGAGCTGTGGCTTTTTCGGGGCTTTACATCTGCTTAAACATACCCAACGCTCCTTCCACCCCTTCTTTTCCTCTTTGGTCCTCTTCGCGTCTCACCCAAGTGACCGTGACAGCCTCCTTCCAACCCTCGGTATCTGCACACGTGGACTTCTGTTTTTTTTGGAAATCGGGTCTTTGAAAGTACAACTGAGTTAAGAAGAGGTCATTAGGGTGGGCCCCAATTCGAAGGACTAGTGTCCCCATCAGAAGAGAAGAGACAGAGGCAGGTACACAGAGGGGAGATGCTATGAAGACACATGAGAAAGCTGCCGTGTGGTCACAGAGGAAGAGATTAGAGTGATGCGTGCATAAGCCCAGGGTTGCCGGCCCCATTGGAGACGGAGAGAAAGACATGGAACGTGCCTTCCTCAGAGGGGCTGTGGTTCTGCCAACGCCTGACGGACTCCTACAAGGGGATACATTTCTGTCCTTCCACTCGTCACAGCGACCCTGGGAAATGAGTGTGCTGGCCTGATCGGCAACCTGATCCGCCTCGTCCGTCTGTCCTCCCCATGGCATGTCCAGATCATGAAAACCTAGAGGGCCCTGGATTCCGGAAGGTTCTCCGTGGGAAGGAGGTGTTTAGAGAGCAGATCACTTGCCTGGGAATCCTGGAGGGTCCTGCTCCTCTGGAGACTTAGCCGTTGAGTAGGGAATGGGGAAGGGGCTGTCATTCAGGGGTTTAGTTACAGAGAGACTGGCCACCCCCAATCTTCCCAAGATTGCGAAGGCTTTCTTGGAAAAACCGGGGACAGAGTAAAAGCCTATCACGCTGGTTAAGAGCTGTGTATCATGTGCTCCGGGGCCTGGTGACCATGGATGTGTCCTCAGGCATCTCCCTTAACCTCTCTGTCCCTTAGTTTCCTTAGCCATAAAATAGGTGCAGTGACAGCACCCACCTCATGGGGTCGCTACAGGGATTAACTGAGTTAATGCTAGCTGAACATCTGAAACAGTGCCCGACACAGTGTAATGGCTAAATCACATCTGCTCGAAATGGTTAACTGTGGCCCCAGGGGTGCAAAATAAGGACTCATCCGCCAGCTCAGTGCCTTAAAGCGACACCCACCTATTCCCCCAGGTCTGTGGGTGCGCTCTGCTCAGTGGGGCTCAGGTGTCTGCAGCTGGCTGGGGTTTGGCTGGGGCTTGGCTGGGGCTTGGCTGATCTCAGCTGGCTGTGGCTCTCGTGACTCTGTTCCTTGTGGCTGTTATTCTTTTCTTGAGACCAGGGGCATGTTCTTCTTGTGGTGGTGGCAGAAGGCACAAGGGCACAAGGAGAAACATGCAGGCATCTTGAGGCCAGGGCGTGAGACTGGCACACCAGGGAACCTGCCTCCTGCTATTGGCCAAAGCAAGTCATGTGTTCATACCCAAAGGGGCAGGAAGTACCAGGCAAAGACTATGGAGAGGAAAGGGCTGAAGAACTGACTCCAGGGATGTGAACCACCATCGTCACTCTTAGTGTCCTTCACACCAGGAGTTTGGGACTTGAATCCGGGTGGAGACCCTCTGTCCTGACCTTCGGCCGACCATGGGGCAGGCATTCCTGCACCCAGATTGAGAGGAATAAACCTCAGTAACTCAGAGCCCACTCTCACACTAACCTCTGTTCATCCAGAGACGTTCCTTCCTGGCTATCCTAGCCTGGAGATTTGGGTAGAAGTGCGTGTGTGCACCTGCGTGTGTGAGTTAGAATCTGATCTCTGTGACAGTCTGCAGACGACCCCTCGGTCTGAGCAGGGCTTCTAACAGGGCCCTTCCAGGACCACGCACTCTTAGGCTATGGTGAGCTCCATCCTGAGCCTGGTGACTAAGGATGCTTAGAAATGGCAGGATTTGGGAGGGATGCTATCTTAGTTACCTAAGAGCTGGGGCCCAATTATCCAAGGGAAAAGGCTCTTAAAGGGACAGCCCAGCTTGGTATAGTCATTAAACTTTCCTACTCAGGTTTTGTGTGTGTGTGTGTGTGTGTGTGTGTGTGTGTGTGTTTAAGGAGAAACCCTCTTTATGGCACAATGCTATTTAAATCCTTCAGGTGGAAGCAGCCTGAGAGAGGAAAACTGAAGCCAGCACGGGAGCCCCGTTGCTAGTCTGTCTTTCCTTACTGAAGCAGCAGCTAGAAGACCCTGCATCCTGGATGGACGATTGCAGAGAGAACGGGGAGGCAGTGTGGTGTGTCTTCGCCACCGCACTCCCCACCCCCAGACCCGCCTGTGAGCCAGCCCCTCTCCAATGCCCCTGCTTTTGTGATTTCAGCTGAGAAACAGCAGGAGACACATAATTTTCAGGGCTTTTGTCAGTGGCTTTCAAACTTTTTGGTGGCAACTCTTGCTGAGAAGTACATTTATCATTGTAACTTAGTGTGCACACGTACACAGCTGTAACAAGAACCTCATAAGGCACCACTGACTGTTACTACAGAGTGTGATGTACTCCAATAGGTTCTGTTCTGCTCTGTTACGTTTAAAAAACAATGCTGGGGATGACCTACTAGACTGGTTGCATAACACACTGATGGGTCCCTACCCATCGTCTGAAAAACTCTGGGCCGGGTCCAAGGGGTTTGGTGTCAAAGGGGCCAGAAAACAAAACTCCGCAAGATCCATAGACCTCAGACTTGCCCAAAGCAAAGCGCAATTGGTTAGGAGAAAAGTAAGAAAGGATGTAGTTCAAGGGAAAAATCGGGATGTGTTTGTATTGCTTTGCTTTGGAGTACACCCCCGAGTAGACATGAACCCTGAGGATTTCTCCAGTGCAGGACGCGCAGGACTGCAGGAGAGAATTGAATTCAGTGTTCCCTCTTCCTTCTGAAAATAAATATACTTCACGTTTCAAAAGGGAGTGACCGACATGAAATTAACAGAATAGTATAGGTTTCCCCATTATCCGGAAGGAGAGCTTTCCCAGGAAAGCTTTCACCAGCTGAGATGCTGCAAATTGAAGAAGTTGCCTTCAGCTGCCTTTTGCTCACTGGGCCAAAAATCAGTCAAGCTGAAGCCCAGACAGTCGCAGGCGCAGTTCAAAGCGGCGCCTCCTGAGCTCCTGGTGCTGACTGTGGTCCCTGGGGAAGGTGCCTGGCGGGGCCACCAGCCCTGCTCTGGGCACTGCGGCCTCTCCAAGAGCCTGTTGCAAAACAAATGGTGGACGATGTCTTTGCTTTTTGCCTTTTTTTTTTGTCATAGCAAAAATGCTTTTTGGATTTCTTTCGGCTGGGGCATTAACGTAGGTCTTTCGTAAAGCAAAGTGGTGTAAAGTGAACTTCCGAAAAGCAGGGGGTACTGGCGATAGCGGAGGCGGTTTCCCTGGCCTGTGGAATTGTGGGCGTGGCGAGGCTCTGATGGAGCTACTGGGAAATGGCCGAAATCGATCCTCCTGTGGTCCCAATGGGGAAACTGGTCCGTGGACCAGGCCAGGTAGGTTTGCACCTCAGGGTTGGCTCTGGAGCAGGTGACAGCTCCAGGTGTCCTGGTGTCCCACTGTTTTTTCTCTGCTCTTTTGGGTCTCAGCTTTGTCATCTGGTGAACGACAGTGGCCCTGTCTTGCGGGGCTGTTATGAGGTGAGATATATAGGAGCACCCCACATTCTGAATTTTTACGCAACTCTACTGGCTGGCTAGTGTCCCCCTTCCTGTCCTTCCATCAGGAGAGGGGGCTGCCGTGCTAACATCTTACCCAGGTTTATAGGTGACTGGGCCTCACACTGACTGTGGCTGTGATGGCAGCCAGAGGACATGACCTCTGGCCTCTTGGCATCCAGCTCCTAACTGACGAAGCTGTGTTGGGCTTCAGCTGCACTGGGGGGAGCGAGATGGGGTCCCACCCTGGACCTAACAAGGAGGTGTCGACTTGTGCCACCATTTCCAGACCCCCCTGGCAGAACATGAGTAAAAAGCTGATCCCAGGATCGCCCTCTGTGAGTGAGCAGCCCAGGGTCTCACGCAGAAGGGGGCCTGTCGCTGGTGGTGTTTACAAGAGCTTGTTACACGCCCCCCCCCCCCTTCATGGCCCTGGCTTTAGAGAGGGCCAGGACCAAGCGGACAGGTGCTCCCTGGGTCTTTGTTAAACTCGAGCTCAGATGGACGCAGAAGCATAAGCAGAGCCAAATCACATGTTTAAACAGTTAAGAGGAAACCAGGCTCAGCAAGGAACTTCAACCCTGGATTTAGCCTGGGTGAATTTTCCTTCTCTGGGATTTCCTGTCCCCTTTCTGGATGTTTCTATCTATCAAACGTTCCCTGGCCGTTGGTTTTTAAGGCCTGCGGTGAAAGCAAGCCTTACACAACCCAGCCCTTCGGCTTTGCTGCTGAAGCATCATGGCTGGAGAACGGTGCTGACCCAGAGCGGGCTTGCGGGACCAGCTCCCGCCTCTGCCCGTCTTTACTGAAAGGAGAGCCCGCACTCCTAGACGGGGCTTACGGAACACCCAGGACCATAAAGGCCAGCACACCCCCCAGGACTGCCTGGGGAGGGGACAATACCCCTGGTGGGGGGTAAGTCCTTAAGGAATGTAAAGTAAGTGAACCCAAAAGTCGACCTCCTGCAAGTTCTTAGACTGCAGTTAAAATTTAACAATTTTTTTTTTTATGTAAATCATCTGGTATGCTCAACTGCATGGGGTGGGGGAGAGGGGGGAGCACACAAGGAGGGAACAATGGGCTGGGATTAGATAATTTACTTAGTGCTAAAATTCCAGGAAGTTCGTGTTGATCTGGGCCTGGATCTTGTTACTTTTGAGTTCAAATCTTAATCTTTATCTTCCTCATGCAGTTGAAAGGACTTTTTTTTTTTTTTTACTTAGCCATTTTTACAGTTGTAATTTTTACCCCCTTTCATCAAATAGAGCCTGTTAGATTAGCAGCTCTTAGCACAGAGATGAAAATATTGCTGGAGCCCACTGGGCCCTGTGTTGTTTACCCTAACGGAGCGGGCTTTGATCTGAACAGATTTCCTGGGGTCTGGAGGAGATGACCTAATTC